CTCCCACCTAGGTGACAGGGACCCAACTACTTGAGTCATCACATGCTGCCTTCCAGATATGCATCAGTAAGCAGCTGGAATTGGAAATGGAGCTGAGACTTGAAGCCAAGCACTCCAGTGTAGGATTTGGGTATCCTGCAGTGTCTTTATTGCTGTGCCAAATACCGCCCCACTTCTTAATACCCGATCACCAATTTTATGTTCACTGTCAAATATTTCTTACAATCATAACATTTTCTCTAGCTCTATTGCCATCTTGGTTTAGGACCTCATAATTACTAGTTGGCAACTAAAATTTCTATATTTAGTTTTTTATACACTATATCATACATACGTTTACATATTTCAAAGTTATATGTAGTCCTATAGTGCTAGTAACAAAGAATCAGCAGTCCTTTGTCCCTTTCCCCAGGGATAATTTCTCATCTCATTATTTTAGTATTTACTTCCATGTCTTTAACCAATTTGGTTGTGCTGCTACATTTTGATTTTTTCCTTGACTTTTTTTTTTTAAAGATTTATTTTATCTTATTTGAAACACAGAATTACAGAGGTAGAGAGAGAGGTCTTCCATTAGCTGGTTCACTCCCCAAATGGCTGCAACGGCTGGAGCTGCGCCAATCTGAAGCCAGGAGCTTCTTCCGGGTCTCCCACATGGGTGCAGGGGCCCAAAGACTTGGGCCATCTTGTACTGTTTTCCCAGGCCATAGCAGAGAGTTGGATGGGAAGTGGAGCAGCTGGGACCAGAGCTGGCGCCCATATGGGATGCCAACGCCTCAGGCCAGGGCTTTAACCCACTGTGCCACAGTACTGGCCCCTTCCTTGACTTCTTACTAGGAAAATCATTCATTCACCCAAAAATATTTTTTGAATGCTTTATCTTGTGCCAGGTGTTGTTCTGCATATTTGAGAACATAGTAAAGAGAACAAATATCTATTTGGAGTAGACAAATACCAAATATAAACTATTACCTGACATTATAAAACAGGGTCTCTCCCAACATGGTAAGATGTCCTTTGTGTTCCAGTAGTGCAGGGCTGGGGAAAGTCTGGCCTACGGACTGTATGAGACATGTGAAATCACTTGGTCTGGCCCTGCCAAGGCAATCGTAAATGGGACTTGAAATTAAATAAATCTATAGCAGGCTAATTTTTAACTTAATTTTGTATGGCCTGCAAATGATGTTATAAATATCCAATAGCCCTTGGCAGCAAAAAGGTTTAGCACACTTGCTAAGTAGTGTCTTGTTCATAGCCCTGTCAGTCACAGATTTTATACTAAAATGTTGTTTAAGCTTGTGGCTGATGGTAGGTGTCTTGTTTAGACCTAACCTGTGTTCTCCTATGGTTGATTTTGACTGTGACTGGAGAAATCTCTCTGCATGAGAACAGAGGAGCTTCCTGGGAAGGTGTGGGCTTGAGTAATTTTCTAGGAGCTAAATTCATGGATCTCCAGGATTAACTATAAGACTTTGTGCTGCAGCAGGTAAAGCCGCCGCCTGCAGTGCTGGTATTCCATATGGGCAGTTCAAGTTCTGGCTGCCCCACTTCGGATCCAGCTCTCTACTGTGGCCTGAGAAAGCAGTTGAAGATGGCCCAAGTCCTTGGGCCCCTGAACCTGCGAGGGAGATGCAGAAGAGGCTCCTGGCTTCAGATCGGCGGAGCTCCGGCCGGCTGTGGTGTGACCCAGCAGATGGAAGATCTCTCTCTCTCTCTGCCTCTCCTCTGTGTAACTCTGACTTTCAAATAAATAAATAAATCTTTAAAAAAATCAAGATTTGTCAAATCGGGCCTGGCATTGTGGCATAGCTGATTAAGCCGCCGCTGGTGACACTGGCATCCCATGTGGGCACTGCTTCAAGTCTAAGCTACTCCACTTTCTTTTTTTTTTTTTTTTTTTGACAGGCAGAGTGGACAGTGAGAGAGAGAGACAGAGAGAAAGGTCTTCCTTTGCCGTTGGTTCACCCTCCAATGGCCGCCGCAGCCAGCGCGCTGCGGCCGGCGCACCGCGCTGATCCGATGGCAGGAGCCAGGAGCCAGGTGCTTATCCTGGTCTTCCGTGGGGTGCAGGGCCCAAGCACCTGGGCCATCCTCCACTGCACTCCCTGGCCACAGCAGAGGGCTGGCCTGGAAGAAGGGCAACCGGGACAGAATCTGGCGCCCCGACCGGGACTAGAACCCGGTGTGCCGGCGCCGCTAGGTGGAGGATTAGCCTAGTGAGCCGCGGCGCCGGCCTAAGCTACTCCACTTTCAATTCAGATCCCTGCTAATGTGTCTGGGAAAGCAGTGGAAGATGGCCCAATTCCTTGGACCCCTATATCCATGTGGGAGATCAGGGAGAAACTCCTGTCTCCTATCTCCTGGCTTCAGCCTGGCTCAGTCCTGGCTGTTGCAGCTGTTTAGGGAGTGCAGCAGTGGATGGAAGATCTTTCTCCCTGTCTCTCCCACTCTCTCTGTAGCTCTGCCTTTCAAATAAATAAATCTTAAAAAAAAGAAGAAAGACTTGTCAAATCTAAATGTACCATTTGATGTTAAAGGTAACAAAGTAAGATCAATAGAAAGGAAAGCTGAGATAATTAAAACTTTCAAAATATTCCTAATGACTAGTAAATAAAATTTAGAAACATTTAAACATCACTAGCTTTCTCAATTAAACTTGATAAATGTTAGCAGACTCCCATTTTTTTTTTTTTACTTTGTTAGCTTGATTATAAAAAAAGGATAAAATGGGGGCCAGTGCTCTTGTGTAGTGGGTAAGGCCACCACCTGCAGTGCCAGCAGCCCATATGGGCGCCAGTCGAGTCCTGGCTGCTCCACTTTTGATCCAGCTCTCTGCTATGGCCTGGGAAAGCAGTACAAGATGGCCCAAGTCCTTGGGCCCCTGCCCTTGTGTGGGAGACTTGGAAGAAGCCCCTGGCTCTTGGCTTTGGATTTGCCCAGCTCCGGCTGTTGCAGCCATTTGTGGAGTGAGCCACTGTATGGATGCAAGACTTATCTCCCTCTTTGGTTCTGCCTCTCTGTAACTCTGTCTTTCAAATAAATAAATACATCTTAAAAAGGATAAAATTAAGTGCAATGATAATGTATAAAAACTGCTTATCATTTGTAAGTATCTCTTTTTTGCTTAGTTATTAAATGGAATACAAGAAAGTAAAAGGGAGTTTCATAATTTATTTCTCAAAATATTTACAGAATTGGTATATTAATTGGTACATTAATGTTTTTCTTTTAAAAGTTAAAGGTCTACTAATTCTTTGACATAACAGAAACCATAATATGAGGCATCTATTTTAGAATATTTTGTATACTGTAAACCATAACCCTTCCTAATGAAGTTTCTTTAACATTTTATTATACTTTTGTATTGTTTTTGTCCCTGCCCTTTTAGTAATTTGGTTTTAAATTTTAAATCAACGCATTTTTGAGTTAAACAACCATTTTTAGAGGTATTGCCAAAAAAATATCTGGTAGGTCTGAAAAAAAGACCTTTGAGGTTCTGTTTGTGCTATGGTTAATTTTCTAATTTTTTTTTTTCTTGACAGGCAGAGTGGACAGAGAGAAAGGTCTTCCTTTTCCGTTGGTTCACCCCCCAATGGCTGCTGCGGCTGGCGCACTATGGCTGGTACACTGCGCCGATCCGAAGCCAGGAGCCAGGAGCTTCTCCTGGTCTCCCATGTGAGTGCAGGGCCCAAGCACTTGGGCCATCCTCCACTGCACTCCCTGGCCACAGCAGAGAGCTGGCCTGGAAGAGGAGCAACCGGGACAGAATCCGGCTCCCTGACCGGGACTAGAACCCGGTGTGCTGGCGCCGCAAGGCAGAGGATTAGCCTATTGAGCTGCGGCGCCGGCCTAATTTTCTAATTTTTTAAAAAATCCTAAATATCTGTATTTAGCATTTAACTTGAAATTTAAAAAAAAATGCTAAAATATTTATATAGTTATAAAACTAGAAACAAGTATTAGAAAAAGAACTAGAAATACAGATTAAAATTTTTTTTCTCCTGAATCCTATTATTAGCCTCAAGTATTTATTTCCCTGAGCAAAGGCATAAAGTCATAAGCAGTCAACTTTATCTATGAGCTATAAGGAGCTCTTATATTTTGTGAGAATTTTCAGAGAAGACTTCCCATGAAAAATGTAAAATCATTTGCCAGAATATCAGAAACTACACACTAAATTCAATTGACTTTGATTATCAGTTAGTGAATGCCCCCAAACACTGCCATGAATTATTGTTGAAAGATACAATATTTATCTTAATCATAATCATATATTGTACAAACACTAAAAACTATTAGATGTTGAGCTGCCTAATAAAATTCAATTTCCTACTCTTACTCTATAAAGCTCTTTGAACACCACCATATAAAACTTTTATAGTCTCAGTTTTGGCTTTGAAAATTATTTAAAAACCTAAGTAAAAATGCTTGCTTGAATAATTACGAGTCAGCAAATTTTTACTGGCCAAATCTATTACTCCCTCAATTGGGGTATACCTCTCAACACTGAAATATTTAGTTTTTTATCACCTGAACTCCAGACTAACATGACAACAAATAGAAGCTTAAAATCTTTTGAGATCACAAGAAGCTTTTAAGGGTTAGCTCTTGTCATGGATATTGTTTTCTGATCCTTAATGACTTTTGCTAACAATGATGCAATATCCTACTGAAAAACAATTTTAAAATCTCTATGAAAGTAGGTTAAGTCTTGAGGACAATGACATAAGTGTATTTAGACCAGGTGCTAATATGGTGGAAAAACAAATGAGAACAATTTTCTCTTATAGAGTAAAACATCTAATCAGCAGACAGGGCTGAAGAATGTATAAAGGTGTTTTACTGATTACTAACTTACACTATTAAAATATTAAACCCCTTAATTTTTAAAAATTTTCTGATTATCATACTTCTACTTTTGTTTTTTAAATGTGAGGGCAAGAATCTGATTTCCTATTGATTAATGCATCAAGAAGTAACACAGAATGAAAATTGATTACCTAATCAAGTAGCAACAGAAGAGTAAACTAAGGATGAAGACAAATATAGCAGTGCCAAAAACCACAATATATATGTTGAGAGGCAGATTCTGGAATCCAATATTAGGCATTCTGAAGTTGTAATGTGGGAAATCCGAGCTCATGGATGAACTGTGGGAGAAGCAAAGAATGGAAAAGAATTAGGTATAAAGACTAAGAATCAAGATAGCATTACCTGTGTACATATATAGAGGCAAAACTTTCCTAAGGCTCAACCCCATTTGAAATAAATATGATAGACCAAAATGTTACTATTCTTGCCATTCATTCATTTATCATACCAAATATTCTGAGTGCTTACTACACATCTGGCACTATTCCAGAGACTAGAGATCCAACATAAAAAGCTCTGCAAGTTGCATTCATAGCATTTCACTGAAATAATACAAGTAATCAATAAACATGAAAATATGAAATTTCAAAGATACAAAATAAGGTCTTGAGATTTTTCAAATTCTCCTTTAACTCAATAACTCAACCTTTAAAGTAGCAATATTATAATAGTAAAACATTATAAATGTATGTCTAACAATGAAATAACCCAAGTTTTCAGTAAATTGTAGTGTCAAGAGAAATAGGTATATGGGAAAAATTAAGTAGAATATAACTGTATATAAAGTATTCCAATTTTTTTTTTTTTTTGGCAGGCAGAGTGGACAGTGAGAGAGAGAGACAGAGAGAAAGGTCTTCCTTTTGCCGTTGGTTCACTCTCCAATGGCCGCCGCGGCTGGCGCATCGCGCTGATCCGATGGCAGGAGCCAGGTACTTATCCTGGTCTCCCCTGGGGTGCAGGGCCCAAGCACTTGGGCCATCCTCCACTGTACTCCCTGGCCACAGCAGAGAGCTGGCCTGGAAGAGGGGCAACCAGGACAGAATCCGGCGCCCCGACCGGGACTAGAACCCGGTGTGCTGGCGCCTCAAGGCGGAGGATTAGCTAGTGAGCCACAGCGCCGGCCAAAGTATTCCAATTTTATAAATTTATAAATACATATATGGGAGTATAAGTATATGTGTATGGTAGAAAAAATCATGGAAGCCAACATTTCGAAAGGTTAACACTGGCTTATGGTTTGCTAGCCGTTTTGATTTTCTTTCTGTAGACCCTTTTATTGTTAGGTCTTGTTCTAATAATTTTACTGGCATTATTTATTTAATCCTCACAATCAAACTTCTATGGTAGGTACCATAATTTCTTCCATTTTACATATAAGGAAACCAGGGCCTAGTGAGTGTCAGTCACACAGCCATTACTGACCAAAGATATACCCAAGCCAGGATCTTTAACTCCCAAGCTAGTGCTCTCAGCCTGTGTACTTTACTGCCTTTTTTGTCTTACTTTCATGATCAGAAAAATGTTGTCTAAACATTAACAAAAGGACTATTTCTGTCAATTTGCTTGGAAATACTTCCTGATCTCTACACAGTTAAAATTCCATGAACAGGGTTTTCCCCCTTCTTTAGGTGAAGAGGAATAGTGTTAATACCGTTTCACCACAGCTTTCCTTGTCATTTTGATTCCTAACAAAAAAAAGAGCTCTAGCCAGGCCTGTTTATTACATCCAAATAATGATAAGTGAATTATAACTATGACTACTGCCAAAATCAAAATCAAAACCTAACACCCCCAAACTTCTACTTTATGTACAGTAAGTTAAAATGTGCCCATGGATCTTTAGTGTTCTTCTTGGTTCCAAAGAGATTATATTTACACTGCTGGCACCACTGAGATGTGACTTTCTGTATCTGAAATCTAGGTCTTATTGTTACTTTCATTTCTGGTCTCTAATAATTTACAGCAGGAAGTCAATGGCTGACAAGAACAACTTCATCCCACTGAAACTCTCCGCTTAGAAAGGCCAAACATAAATAGTGGGTAATATTTAGTTTTGAGTCTCTGGATATTTGGGAATTTGGCTTAGTTAGAGCAAGTGCTTTTACTCCAATATATAATTTCATTTTCCCCATATTCAGATCTTCTTAGGAGTGAGAGAAGAATGTAGCTAAGCACTTTACCAAATATACAAAGCACATGTACCTCAGAGCTATAAGAAAATTACAGCACTCTGTCTCTGTGTCCACTCTGTCAAAAAAAAAAAAAATTACAACTGTATAAAATTTACTTTTTTTTAAAGATTTATTTATTTGAAAGTCAGAATTACAGAGATAGAGGGGGAGACAGAGAGATCTTCCACCTGCTGATTCACTCCCTAGACGGCTGCAACAGCCAGGGCTGGGCCAGGCCAAAACCAGGAGCCAGGAGCTTCTTATGGGTCTCCCATATGGGTGGCAGGGACCCAAACATTTGGGCCATCTTCTGCTGCTTTTTCCAGGCCACCAGCAGGGAGCTGGATTGGAAGTGTAGCAGCTGGGCCACAAACTGGTGCCTATATGTGACGCCAGCATTGCAGGTGGTGGCTTTAGCTGGTATACCACAACGCTGGCCCCTAAAACTTAGCTAACTTCATGCTGCTGACAGGGCCTCACTTGATTACCCTTGTTAGAGTCAAGACGTAGATGGCTGTCCTTCAGTCCTTAAGAAATGTCTGTCATCAGACCAAATGGACTTGGGTAGGGTATCTTTTCACTTTAGGAAACAAGAAATTAAACATATGTACTGAGCAGGCTGATATGGAAAAACTGGTGCAGCGGAAAAAAGTGACAGGTCTGCAGTCAGCAAATCTGAATGCTTGTTCCCAGGATATCACTAGTAAATGTCAGTACTTGGCCCACTTACACCTCAATTTTCTCCTCTTTTAAATGGGATAATATCTATTCTGTTAACTTCAAAAAATTCCTAGAAGCATAAAATGAAATAGAAATCAAAGCATTTGAAAACTTCAGGATTATGACAAAAATATTAACAGTACACAAGTGTATTTGGAGGAAGGAATGAAATTAAATGACAGCAACAACATAAAAGAAACCTCAAAGATCAAGTCTCTGAAGAGGACACTAACTGACCAAGTGCCCACCTCTCAGGACATCCTTTCCCAAGCACGGCTAATCCTCCTGCCAAGTCGTCTGCCAACCTGACCCCCAGGAAGTGACCAAAGACATACATCAATATAGTGAGACTGCGCAGTGTGAGAATGCTACCCTGCAGGGCCCTTGCAATGGGTGTACCACAAAGGAACTCTTGTAGAATTCTGAACAGATACACAGACACAGAGCACTAGAGGCAGCACTCTTTCAGAGGGAAGAAACACCAGTCGCGGTGCTCCTGAAGGGCTGAATGCTGAGACCCTCATTAGTCCTCACTATCTGGCAGGACCTCAGAATTAATCCCCATTACCAGAGAGGTAGGGGTTGGTAGAGAATATACTGATACAGAATACATTTCAGTATTTTCCCCTTTTATTTTGGTAAATGGAATGGTTTATAGCTACAATTGATATGTTGGCCCAAAACGGTCTAGTAGATGCAATCCTGGTATAGTGATACATTAGTTTTTATTATATCTTTCCAGGATGACTATTCTTTTAAAATAAAATTTTTAAAAAACAGCTACATATTCAACATAGTAAGAAACATTATTTGTTATCAAAATCTTACAAACATAAGTTATTTAGTAATTGTTCCTTGTGCAAGTAAAGACATACAGCTTATGGTGCTGTTAGATCTTGGCATTTCCAACTTCATTCACATGAAAACCTCCCCCTCCCCCAGAGGTAATTCATAGTTCCTGAAATCTCTAGTCTCAGCCTAAATTTCAATTTCTGCTTATTAAAAAAAAAAAAGAAAAAGAAAAAAGAGAAAATCTGAGTATTTTATCTGCAATAGGATTTCTAACCAAAAAGTTGTAAGAGGGACAGATTACATGAACTCTTGGCCCCTACAGGAACTGAGATTACTACAGTACTCCACAGCCACAAGCAATGCAGCAGTGTTTTCTTTCTCAGCCACACTGTTTGATCAGTTCTTGTTCCCAGGATAATATCACATCATCATCTGGTTTCCAATAGTCAGCTTTCTACTTCTGCTTCAAAAATGTTTAGAAAAGGAAATGTCAGTAATTATACTTACTGTATTTTATAATTTATAATTCACAAACCATTAACAAAAACCCATATATGTGTCTGCTGTAAATAGCTAAGAAAATTTTGTGAAAAACTACTGTAGGCATTGCTAATCTTTTTAAAAAACTGAGATATAGGGGCCGGTGTTGTGGTGCAGTGGGTTAAAGCCCTGGCCTGAGGCACCGGCATCCCATGCGGGCTCCAGTTCTGGTCTCGGCTGCTCCTCTTCTGATCCAGCTCTCTGCTATGGCCTGGGATAGCAGTGGAAGGGGGCCCAAGTCCTTGGGCCCCTGTGCCCATGTGGGAGACCTGGAGGAGGCTCCTGGCTCCTGGCTTTGGATTGGTGCGGCTCCGGCTGTTGTGACCATGTGGGGAGTGAACCAGCGCATGGAAGACCTCTCTCTCTGTCTCTACCTCTCTCTGTAACTCTTTCAAATAAATAAAATAAATCTTCAAAAAAACCAGATATAATTTACATTTTAAAAAACACCCATATTTGTAAGTGTACAGGCTAAGAGTCTGAACAAAAGAATACAATCATGTTTACACCACTCTAATCAAGAAATAAAACAATGGGGCCGGCACAGTGGCATAGCAGGTAAAGCCGAAGCCTGCACTGTCGGCAACCCATATGGGCATCCAGCTCTCTGCTATGGGTTGGGAGAACAGAAGATGGCCCAAGTCAAACTCTGTACTAACAGTATTCACATCTGTTGGTAGAAAACATTGTATAAACTAATGCACTCATAAGATGATCAACATCTGGGGAATTGTTTAAACAGTCCTCTTCATTTCTTGTGATTTTTTTTTAATTCTTTATTTTAAAAATGTTTTTTTTGGCCGGCGCCGTGGCTCAATAGGCTAATCCTCCACCTGGCGGCGCCGGCACACCAGGTTCTAGTCCCGGTCGGGGCGCCGGATTCTGTCCCGGTCGCTCCTCTTCCTGTCCAGCTCTCTGCTGTGGCCTGGGAGGGCAGTGGAGGATGGCCCAAGTCCTTGGGCCCTGCACCCGCATGGGAGACCAGGAGAACCACCTGGCTCCTGGCTTCGGATCAGCGCAGTGTGCCGGCCGCGGCGGCCATTGGAGGGTGAACCAATGCAAAAGGAAGACCTTTCTCTCTGTCTCTCTCACTGTCCACTCTCCCTGTCAAAAAAAAAAAAAAAAAAAAAAAAAAAAAAAAGAATTTTACTACCAACCAGCAACAAGAAGCATTCCAAACCCTCTCACTCAACAAGGCATCAGTGAAAGCCTTGTGGAGGGCTCCCATCTCTGTCCAGTAATAACAAGGAGCTCCCCCACCCCACTCCTCATGTCAACACAGGCTTAGTGAGGTACCCAGACTTCTACCCTCGTTTCACATTAATCAGACAGTACTAGACCTCCATCTCTTCCACTGTCTGAATGGTATCAAAGTCAGCTAGCACTGAATGTTTAAGTAAAACCTAGGGTCTTATAATGCGATGCACAAAATGTCCAAGTTTCAACTGAAGATGATTTATCATACCAAGAATTAAGATGACCACAAATTGAATGAAAAAGGACAATCACAGATGCCAACACTAATGATAGAAATATAAGCATTATCTGACAGACTTTGAAGCACCATAAAAATGTTTCAACAAGCAATTATGAATATGCTTGAAGTGGAAACAAAGTCTCACCAAGAGAAAGAACAAAATGGAAATTGTAGAACTGAAAAACACAATAATTGAAAGAACTCGGAAGGGCTCAACATCAAAAAGCTGAGGAAAAGCATCAGTGAATTAGAGGAAAGCATCAGTGAACTAGAAGACAGAATAACAGAAACTACTCAGTATGAATAACAGAAAATAGACTTAAGGAAAAATAACAGCGTCAGGGACATGTGAGGGCATAATAAAAAAATTAACATTCATGTCATTAAATTTCCATAAGAGGAGTAAAAGGGAAGAATGAAAAAGTACTCAAAGGAAAAAAAATGTCCAGGGGTAGGCATTTAGCCTAGCAGTTAAACTTGACTGTGTACCTGGGTTTGATTCCTGGCTTCTGGCTCCTGACTAGCTTTTTGTCTATGCAGACCTTGGAAGGCAGCAGTAATGGGTTCCTGCCACCCATGTAGCAGACTTGGGTTGTAGTTCTGGCTCCAGACCCAGCTGTAGCATGCATTTGGGGAGTGATTCAGTGCATGTGAGCATGATCTCTCTCACTTTTTCAAATAAATAACTTAGGGACCAGCATTGTGGCATAGCAGTAAAGCTGCTGCCTGCAGGGCTGGCATCGCACATGGGTGCCAGCTCATGTCCTGGCTGCTCCACTTCTCTGATCCAGCTCCCTGCTAATGTCCTGGGAAAAGCAGAAGATGGACAAAGTGTCTGTGCCCTTGACACTCACATGGGGGACCTGGAAGAAGCTCCTGGCTTCATACTGGCTCAGACCACTGTGGCCATCTGGGGAGTGAACCAGTAGCTAAAAAAGATGTCTCTCCCTCTCTCTCCCCCTGTAACTCTTTTAAAAAAAGAAAGATCTTTAAAAAAAACTTTTAAAATTTATTTATTGTATTTTCATCTACTTGAAAGGTAGAGACAGAGTGAATGAGACACATTCTCCATCCACTGGCGAATGAGAGACCTAGATCAAGTTGACTTTGGTGTGGCCCAGCCCTGGCAGCTTCTGAGGGGTAAACCAATAGATGGAAACTCTCACACAAAACACAACACAACACTCCTATATCAAGAGCCTACAAAAACAAAACAAAACAAAACAAGAGGCCTGCCTTGTGGCACAGTGGGTTAAGTTGCTGCTTGTGATGCTAGCATCCCATTTTGGAGTGCCAGTTGGAATCCCAGCTGTTCTACTTCCAATCCATATTCCTGCTAATTTGCCTGGGAAGGCAGAAAGCAGATGATGGCTCAAGTGCTTGGTCCCCTTCCACGCATGTGGGAAACCCAATTGAAGTTTCTGGCTCCTGGCTTTGGGTTGGCATAGCCCTGACTATTGTGGCCAACAGACAGAAGATAGATCAATCAATCTCTCTCTCTCTCTCTCTCTCTCTCTCTCACGCTCTGCCTTTCAAATAAGACAATAAAATTAAAAAAAAAAAAAAGACCAAGTAAGAGGAAATAATAAAGATAACAGAAATTAATGAAATTGAAAACAGGGAAAAAATAGAGAAAAATCCATGAAGCAAAAAGCTGAGCTTATTTTTTTTTTTTAAATCAACATTGTCAAACCTCTAGCAAGAGTGTAAGAAATACATACATACATACATACATACATATTTGGTTTGGCCCAGTCCCAGCTGTCATGGGCATGTGAGGAGTGAACTAGTGCATGATGGAAGACCTCTGTCTTCCAAGTGAAAAATAAAAATAAAATTATCAATATCAAGAATTAAACAGGAGATATTACAGACTCTACAAACATAAAAAGGATAATAAGGGTATACACACATATATAGACATGCTATTTAAAATTTTATTTATTTGTATTTATTTGAAAGGCTGAGACGTACACACAGACAGACAGAGATTTCCTGTTCATTGGTTCACTCCCCAAATGCTTACAACATCCAGGGCTGGGCTAGGTTGAAATCGGGAGCCCGGAACCTAACTGGGGTCTCCCATGTGGGTGGCAGGGATCCAGGTACTTAAAGCCATTACCTGCTGCCTATCAGGGTGTGCATTAGCAGAAGACAGAATTGGGCACAGAGCCAGTACTTGAACCTAGGCACTATAATATGGGATGTGGACATCCCAAGCAGCATCTTAACAGTTGTGCCACATGCCTGACCCAGATATAAATTTAACAGTGTAGCCAAAATAGAACAATTTCTCAAAAACCGCAAACTGCCACAACTCATCCAACATAAAAGAGACCATTTGGATAGCTCAGTAGCTACTGAAGAAATCTGAATTCATAATTTAAAAAAGAAACCTCAAGATCGAATGATTTTACCAGAGAGTTCTACCAAATATTTAAAAAATTATGCCAATTCTTTTTTTTTTTAAATAAAGATTTATTTATTTATTTGAGAGGCAGAGAGAAAGAGAGTGAGTGAGTCTGTCTTCCATCTCCTGGTTCACTCCCCAGATGGCTGCAGCAGCCAGCGCTGCAACAATCCGAAGTCAGGAGCTTCTTCCGGGTCTCCCACATGGGCGCAGGGGCCCAAGGACTTGGGCCATCCTCCACTGCTTTCCCAGGCCACAGCAGAGAGCTGGATTGGAAGTGGAGCAGCCAGGACTCAAACTGGTGCCCATATGGGATGCCGGTGTTGCAGACCAGGGCTTTAAACTGCTGTGCCACAGTGCTGGCCCCGATGCCAATTCTTGATAATCTTTTAGAGAAAACAGAAGGGCACATTTACTGATTCATTCCATTATTACCCTGGTAGCAAAACCAGAAAAAGATTAGTAGTTGGGTACCTGACAGACACATGGTAGACCTGGATTGAGTTCTTGGCTCTTGGCTTTGCTTTGACCCTTTCACTATAGGCATCTGAGGGGTAAATAGGTAGACAGGAGCACTCCCTGTATGTCTGTACCTCTCTCCTTCTAAAAAGAAAAAAAAAATTCCAAAAAAATCCACAAAAAAACAAAAACAGCATTTAGCAAATATAGATAAAAAATTCTATTTATTGATTTACTTATTTTGAAAGTCAGAATTATAGAGCGAGAGATGGAGAGATATAGACCTTCCATCTGCTGGTTTACTCTCTAAACATCTGAAACAGCTAGGGTTGGGCCAGGCCAAAGCCAGGAGCTTCACCCTGGTCTCCCACATGGTGGCAGGGGCCCAAACATTTGGACCATCTTTCCCTGTTTTTTTTCTCAGGCCATTAGCAGGGAGCTGAATGCAAAGTGGAGCAGCCAGGAACAAACTGGTGCCCATGTAGTGGTGACTTTCCCCCACTATACAATGCCAGCCTCAGATAAAAAAAAATTAAAAAAGTATTAATGGAGCCAATGCTGTGTTGTAGTAGACTAAGCCTCTACCTGTGGTGCTGGCAACCCATATGGGCACCATTTATGTCCTCTCCTGATCCAGCTCCAGGCTGATGGCCTGGGAAAGCAGTGGAAGATGGCCCAAGTCCTTGGCTCCTGGCTTTGGATCGGCCTAGTCTCAGTCATTGCAGCCATTTGGGGAGTGAACTAGCAGATGAAAGACTTCTCTGTCTCTAACTAGGCCTGTCAAAGAAATACATAAAAAATATTTTTAAAAAATTAGCACATAGAATTCAGCAAGATATAAGCAGAACTTTACATCATGACCACTGGGGTTTATTCCAAAGATGCAAGGCTGGTTCAATATTCAAATATCAATGCAATCTGTCATAGCCAATGACTAAGAAGAAAAATCACACAATCCTACTGAGACATAAAAAACATTTAGGAAAATCTGAAATCCATTCATAATCAAAAACTCCCAGAAATACAGAAATAGAAGAGAATTTCCCCAACTGATAAAAAGCATCTGTAAAAAACAAATAAAACCAAATCAGACAACTATAGAAACTATACTGCTAACATTGCTCTTAATGGTGAAAGAAATACTTCCCTAAGACCAGGAACAAGGCAGGGTATCTACTCTCATCAATCCCACTCAACATAATGCTGGAAGTTCTAGCCAGTGCAATAGGGTTATAAAGGGAATAAAATGCATAAATATCAGAAAAGAAGAAATTAAATCACTCCTATCTGCTATAGCATTGTCTATAGCAAAGAATCTACAAAAATATTTCTAGAATAAGTGAGTTTAGCAAGGTTGCAATTCAAAAGGTAAACATAAAATCAATTTTATTTCTACAAAGTAGTAATGAACACCTGAATGTTGAATAATTTAATGACATTTATAATTATTCAAAAAATTGCAAAAGAGTAAGTCTAACAAGATATATACAAGACTTAGAAGCTGAAAGCTACTATAATTCTTATCCAAAGCCTACTGTATTAGTTGTTTTCTGTTGCTATCACAAAATTCCTGAGAATGGGTAGTTTATAAGGAAAAAGGTTTATTTAATTCATTTGGGAGGCTGAAAGTCTAAGATTGAGTGGGCGAATCTATTCAGCTTCTGGTGAGGGCCCCCTAAGCTCATCACAATATGGCAGAGAAAAGGAAAGGAAACCAGCCAGATGCAAAACAGTGGTCTTGCTTTATTACAACCCATTCTTGTGAGCCTTCCAAGAGTAGTGCTCCCAAGGACCTAATTAACTTGTACTAAATCCCACCTCTTAAAGGTCCCACCACTTCAACACACCACACTGACAACCAAGTCTCGAGCATGAACCTTTGGGGGACAAACTACATTCAAGCCATAGCATCCAGCAAGACTGTTTTGGAGATAAAGGTAAGTTTACAAAATTTAGATGAAAGAAAGGCAAGGAACTAAATCAGCTTAAACAAGTTTGAAAAAAGAAGAAAAAAGGAAAGGGATTAGTCTAATTTAAGAACTTATCATAGCTACATGAATCAGACTGCGTGGAGGGGCCGGCGCTGTGGCGCAGGGGGTTAAAGCCCTGGCCTAAGGCACCGGCATCCCATACGGGTGCTGGTTCTAGTCCCAGCTGCTCCTCTTCCGATCCAGCTCTCTACTATGGCCAAGGAGAGCAGTAGAAGATGGCCCAAGTCCTTGGGTTCCTGCACCTGCTTGAGGACCAGGAAGAAGCTCTTTGCTCCTGGCTTAGGATCTGCGCAGCTCCAGCCATTGCAGCTATCTAGGGAGTGAACCAGCGGATGGAAAATCCCTCTGTCCCTACTTCTCTCTGTAACTCTTTCAGATAAATAAATTTTTTTTTTTTGACAGGCAGAGTTAGAGAGAGAGAGAGAGAGAGAGAGAGAGAGAAAGGTCTTCCTTTCATTGGTTTACTCCCCAAGTGGCCGCTATGGTTGGCGTGCTACGGCCAGCGTGCTGCGCCTATCCGAAGCCAGGAGCCAGGTGCTTCCTCCTGGTCTCCCATGTGGGTACAGGACCCAAGCACTTGGGCCATCCACCACTGCTTTCCTGGACCACAGCAGAGAGCTGGACTGGAAGAGGAGCAACCGGGACAGAATCTGGCGCTCCAACCGGGACTAGAACCTGGGGTGCCGGCACTGCAGGTGGAAGATTAGCCTAGTGAGCTGTGGCGCCGGCCTAAAATAAATTAAAACACACACACACACACACACACACACACAAGGCTGTGTGGAATTAGTAAAATGATTGACACATAGGTCAGTGAAACAGAATAGAGAACCCAAAAACAAATGTACACAAATAACATCTACATGACTTTTGATAAATATGCAAAATCAATTCAATAGAGAAAGGAAAGTATTTTCAATAATTTTTGCTTGAGCAATTGCAATTGGACGCCCATTGATAAAAAAATGAACCTTGATTTTCACACACATACACACACACCTCAAAATGAATCATGGACTTAAATATGAAATGCAGAACTGCAATATGGTTGGGTAAAGCACAGAAAAAATTACTCAGGATCTAGGGTTAAGCAAAGGATTCCAGACTTGATGCCAAAAGCAATGAAAAAACATCTTTGCCTTATGAATGACTCTGTTAAGCTACAAACTGAGAGAACATAATTGTATACCACATTCCTGGAAAAAAAGACTAATATCTAAACTCAAAATGCAACAATAAAAACAATAAAATATGGATTGAATCATGTCCTGAAAGATACAGCGAAGTCACCATCCCCAGTATCTCAAAATTTAACTTTATTCAGAAATAGAGTTGTTGCATATGTAATTAGTTACGGTATAATCAACAAGTTAAAAGTCACAGAGTAAGGCAGACCTTAATCCAGCATGATTTGGTGTCCTTACTAGGAGAGAAGAGACAGACAGATATGTGATGGCAGAAGCAAAGTGCTGCAGCGACAAGCTGAGGAACATCAAAGATCACTGGTAGCCACCAGGAGCTAGGAGAGAGGCGTTAGATCCTCACACAGAGCACTCAGGAACCCGTTCTGCAAACATCTTAATTTCAGACTTCAGAACCCCAGAACTGAGACAAATTTTCTGTTGTTTTAAGCTACCAATTTTATGGTACTTTGTTACAGCAGTCCTAGGAAACTAATAAACAATTCAATTGGAAAATGGGCAAGAAACATTTCATCAAAGAGGGTCTATAGGTGATAAATAAGCACATGGAAATATGTTTAAAATTGGAGTAGGTGTTGTGGCACAGCAGGTTAAGCTGCTACCTGGGATGCCTGCATCCCAAACCTGAGTGCTGGTTTCTACTTCCAATTCATTTCTCCGCTAATGTGCGGAGAAGCAGGTGATGGTTCAAGTACTTGAGGCCCTGCAGCCCATGTGGGAGATCCTAATGGAGTTCCTGGCTCCTAGCTTCAATCTGGCCCAGTCCTGGCTGTCATTTAGAGTGAATCAGCAGATGGGAAGATCGCTATTTCCCTTTAGGCCATTCTGCTTTTCAGATAAATAATAAAGCTTCAAGCTCCGCCCCACCCCAACCCACAAGGAAGAAAATATGTTCAAAATCATTAGCCACTACGGATATGCTAATCAAAACTACAATCAGATATTACCACACACCTATCAGAATGACTAAAAAATCATGACACTACCATACGCTTATGGTAACAGATAAATTAGATAATTCTTATCTTTTTTATTTTTTAAAGATTTATTTGAAAGACAGAGTTAGAGAGAGAGAGACAGACAGACAGACAGACAGGTCTTCCATCTGCTGGTTCACTCCCAAGATGGCCACAATGGATCGAACTGCGCCAATAATTCTTATCTTGTTTGTGGGAATATGTAAAATAGTATAGCTGCTCTGGAAAACAGTTGGCAGTTTCTTATAAAATTAAACAGGCGTGCGATTACCCCTGGACACTTATCCCAGGGAAATGAAAACTTACACCCACATACAAACCTCTACGTCAGTACTGACATAAGCTTTATTTTTAGCAGTCCCAAATTAGAAATAACCCAGATGTTCTTCAATAAGTGGGTGATTAAACAAACTATGGTATATGCTACCATGGAATATTACTTAGCAATAAACAATATGGAACAAATACATGCAATAATCTGAATCACTCTTTAGATAATTATGTTGAATGAGAAACCACACTCTTCAGATAATTTTGTTGAATGAGAAACCAATTCCAAAAGATTACACAAAATATGAAGAATGAGTACATTTAATATATTAACATTCTTGAAGTGACAAAATTATAGAAAAGGAGAATAAATTAGTGGTTATCATCAGTTAAGGACATTTTTTAGGGCGGGGGAAACTGATATGTCTTTCAAAGGGCAACATGAAAGATTTTTGATGTGATGGAAATATTTTGTTATCTTGACTGTATCAAAATCAATATCCTGATTACTATATTGTACTATAGTTTTACAAGATGCTACTATTAGGGGAAACTGTAACAGGCACACAGAATCTTTCTATATTGTTTCTTAAAAAAAAAAAAAAAATTGAGTCTCTTCTTGTTTCTATCTACCTACCTACCTTTATTTGAAAGGCATAGAGAGACAGAGACAGAGATCTTCTATTTGATGAATGACTATCCAAAGCCTGCAACAGCTGAGGCAGGGCCAGGATGAATCCGGGCCTCTCATGTGGGTGTCAGGGACCCAAGTACTTGAGCCATCACCTCCTGCCTCCCAGCGTGCACATTAGCAGAAATGCTGCAACTGGAAATGGAGCAAGGATTTGAGCCCAGCAATTTGATATGGCATGGGGCTTCCCAAGTAGTACTTATGTAAGTACTGTGCCACACACCTGCCCCTTTATATTGTTTCTTATAGCTGCATGTAAATCTAAAATTGTTTCAAAACAAAAAATTAAAAAATACACAGTGAAGCAACTGAAATTTAATGGAAAAGAACTGTGACATTATATCTCTGTATCCAAACCTACATGTGGTGGGAGGGGGAGGGAGGGAGGGAGGGAGAGGGAGAGAGAGAGAGAGATTGAGAGATTTTCTGGCATGAAAGTCTTCTTTCGCTATGTATAGTCATTCTACGTATTAAAACTCTCACAGTAGGCCAGTGCCGCGGCTCAACAGGCTAATCACATTATGCAGGAAAAAAGCCTTCTACTGAGAGAAAAATGAATAACAATCTTGTATTATCAATTGAAAAATAATAAAAATAAATGAACAAAAGAAGTCAACTTTAGAAGGCAGAAATTTATGCTGATTTGAAAAAATATAAAATAATTCAAGCATTAAAGTCTATATTAAACGGATTTAATAGGAATATTAAATAACCTAAATAACCTAAACTGGCTCAAGAAGAAAGCCTAAAAATACAGAAAATCTTTACCAAAAAGCCCCATACAAAGGAGGTGGAACTGACGGGAGGGGAGGGGAGGGGAGAGGAGAGGAGAGGAGAGGAGAGGAGAGGAGAGGATGGTCTTCCCATCCATTGGTTCACTCCCCAGATGGCTGCAATAGCTGTGGTGGGGCCAGGCCAAAGCCAGCAGCTTTATCCAGGTCTCCTACATGGATGCAGAGGCCCAAACACTTGGACCATCTTCCCCTGCTTCCTCAGGCACATTAGCAGGGAGCTGAATTTGAAGGACTCGAGCTGGCACCCATATGGGATGATGGCATTGCAGGTTGTGGCTTAACCCAGTCCCAACATTAAATTTTTTGATTGAATAATTGTACATATTTCTGGGGTACAGTGTGACATTTCAAAACATGTATATACTATGTACTGATCAAATCAGAGCTAAATAGAAGCAATAAGCTTCTAGCATCACACAGTATAGTGGGGGTACTATAGTCACAACAATTTTTAAAAATATATAGAGAACAGATTTCATGAATTTCATATATGATTCTAAAAGTATGATTTTTTCCCTTCCTTCTCTCAAAATTTTTTAAAATATTTATTTACTTGAAAGTCAGAGTTACACAGAGAGAGAAGGAGAGGCAGAGAGAGAGAGAGGTCTTCCATCCACTGGTTCATTCCCCAGTTGGCCGCAACAGGTAGAGGTGTGCTGATCCGAAGTCAGGAGCCTCCTTTGGGTCTCCCATGCAGGTGCAGGGGCCCAAGGACTTGGGCTACCTTCTACTGCTTTCCCAGGCCACAGCAGAGAGCAGGATTGGAAGTGAAGCAGCTGGGACTCGAATCAGCACCCATGTGGGATGCCAGCACTGCAGGTGGTGGCTTTACCCGCCATGCCACAGCACCAGCCCTCCTTTAAAATTTTTAAAATAATATACTTCAAATTTACTTTATTATTACAGGCTTAATGCTCTAAGAATTCTGACACAATTCTTTCACAAGTAAGTTTGGAAAATATCTGTTGGGAAGTTGACTTGATTTGAAAGTACATTAGATTTATCACTTACTTTAAGGAGAATGAGTCTTGCTATGGCTTTAAATGTTTGTCCCCTCTCAAACTCATGTTTTAAAAAATTTTTTTAAAATTTATTTAAGAGGCAGAGAGACATATGTGAGCACCTTAACTGATAACCACTAAGAACATACTCCCCTGCCCCCATGGTGAAATGTAATTATCACAACAGTAGTAAGAGGTGATTAGGAAGTCTGGCCCCAAACTTTCAGCTTTCTACTTTAATCAAAGGTAGTCTGAGAAACAAGAGAAAATGAGGATGCATTCTTGTTTTATTCAGCTAATGGGGGAATCAATTGCAGAAGAGACCATTATTGGCCGGTGCCGTGGCTCAATAGGCTAATCCTCCACCTGCAGTGCCGGCACCCCAGGTTCTAGTCCCGGTCGGGGCACCAGATTCTGTCCCGGTTGTTCCTCTTCCAGTCCAGCTCTCTGCTGTAGCCCAGGAGGGCAGTGGAGGATGGCCCAAGTCTTTGGGCCCTGCACCTGCACCTGCATGGGAGACCAGGAGAAGCACCTTGCTCCTGGCTTCAAATCAGTGCGGTGTGCTGGCCACATCGCGCCGGCTGCAGCGGCCATTGTGGGGTGAACCAATGGAAAAGGAAGACCTTTCTCTGTTTCCCTCTCTCACTGTCCACTCTACCTGTCAAAAAAAAAAAAAAAAAAAAAAAGAAGAGACCATTATTTTCAAATCTGTTGCTGAGGTTTAGCTGATGAGCCACAGTGTGGCCTCACTGGACAGGCCAGTATGTGGCCCTACTGCAATAACCTAAGCCTGACAGGATTTAGGTGGTAGGTTCTTATCTGTATTAACAGTCAGGAGCAGGTGACTTCTCTCTAACATGTCAGAAGCTAATAACATTACAAACACATCCATTACTAAGTAGATTTAACTAGTAAAGAGTGTTAAGTTGGCTTGAATATGCATAAATTAACCCTAAAGGATGAGATACCCAAAACATTGGTAACATGAACTGCTTCTGGTGAAGAAACAAGGAAGCTAAGAGGGATAACTTTTTCACTGCATATATCCTTTTGTATCTTTAAAATTTTGAATGCTATGACTATTATCATTTCAAAATATAGCATTTTAAAGTAAAAAAAGTCAGTGATATATTTGACCAGTATGTGTCTACATCTGCATATAAAAGGTGGTAGATACTCATATTCAGGATTTGAAGGAAGAAGATGGCAGTAGAAGTCTGTGTGTGTGGGACTGCAGATTACACAGAGAATGAAACATACACTTTGCCATATCCAGAGTACACCAGTCAATGTCAAACACTTAGGTCCTCCAGAAAGTATCCCTATGTCAGAGAACAAATACTTCTTAAAACCAGTTACATTCTTTATTCTAACTTTAAAGTAACCAATTATACACTGGTTTTCTTTTTTCCTATATTACTTACCTGAGAGCTAAGAGTGTGAAGATTTGGTCATGCTTGGTCGATATTCAAGTTCATCTGAAAACTTCTTTTCTCATGACAAATTGGCATTGGGAGCTCTGGCTAGGCGAGATTCTCCTAGGACCTGGTTATCCCAGAGTAAAGGCAAGGCTGCATTTCTGGAAGCCTATGGCCCAGACCATGGGTGAAGGTCCTGCAGTGAGAGGCTGGAGGCTGAGCACCTAAGCTGGCACTCCTGGATGACACTTACATTCAAAGATCACCTTCTACAATCCCAGCCTTTTATAATCTTTTGGTAATTGGCCATTAGAAACAGCTATCAAAGTTCTATTAGGGAAAAAGGTATCCCAGTACAAAAAATATCTTATTCTCTTCAGCTCCATTACTGACAATTCCAATGCCTCTGCAGTTTTTTTTTTTTTTTTTTTCTTCTTTTCCAGTTGCTTTTGTTACCATTGTTTTGTCTGGGTTTGGGCACAGCTTTTCTCGTTGCTGGCATTGCGGAAGTTCTAAAATCAAGCCTGAGGTGTGATCTTCAATCTGTTTACGATGACTGAAGCCTGCCTTCTTGAACATTATCTTCTTGAACATTTTGGTTATCTGTCATTTTGGTGGCTCTATTTTTACTCTTCCATATTCCCAATAATTATTCTCTGTGCCAGCTCCATTAAAACCTTTTCTCTAATTCTGTGTAATGATGAAGCTACTTTAACTTAAAATCCCATCAGATCTTTACGAGATTTCACTTTGATGATGGTGATGGATTCAAATTTCACATCTTATACTCCCTTCTGATCACTCTGTCTCAGGAATGATAGCGCATGCACTATAATTTTCAAAGAATCTGTTTATCAGCATTTAACTATTGACTTCTACTTGACTATGGCTTTGCAATTAACTGAGGGCCAAACTCTTTGGGTTATAAAAAAGAACACAGGGTAATTCTGAGATTGGAGGACAGTGAAATGGAATACAAGTTATAACAGAGGAAAATACTGTAAGGTTCAACTTCACATTGTAAATTATATCAAAGGAAATAAGAAGCAACAAGCCATTTCCATCTCAAAATGAAATAAACTCTAAGTGTAATACAATGCCTGATTAACTTTAGAAAAAAATTTTCCCCCAACAAAACAGTATGTATACTTTTTGTCACAGCAAAGAAAATCAGAACTCAATAGGAGACCAATGCCTATGTCACTGAAAACTAACTCCTCATGGATGCTTAATTTTCAATCTCTCTCAGGTTGGCTGAAAGTGCCAGTGAGTCTCTTTATTTAGAGCCAGATCTTAATTTACACTAAGCTATCAACTACTGGTACTTACAGGTGGGCCTAACAGAACCCCTGTAAAGCATAAAGCAAAATAAAAAGTTTAAAAATTCTGTTAGGTGCT